AAGGGGTGCCCCTGCCTTGGGGCGACTCTGGCAAGGAGGCAGCCGCCACCCCGTTTCATCCTCCTGTGAGCTTTGCTTTCACAGGCTTCGCGGCCGAACTCAGTGGAACCCTATTAATTGCTGTGGAATTGTAGTTTGGAGGGGTCGTGGAGCCCGGGGACCATCTGTTTCCTTCCCCGACCCGGCTTCCTGGATGGTTTGCGTTTCCCCTGCAGTGGTGCTCTCCCTTTGAGGATTTCAGACACGGGCAGAGAGGCATCGGTCACATAGTGTCACAGACGAGTGAGCAAGAAGTAGCCAAAAGGAAGAGAAATGTCTTGTTGGTCTTATTATAAGAGGTCTACCTGCTTGGCTTTGGAGGTTTCACTTTACTACTGGGAGAACTGCCCAAATCGCAAAGTACATCCTGTCAAGAAATGATTACTTTGCTAATTTTTAAAAATGTCTTTCTATGTTCAGAAGTGCTATAAAACAGTTTACAATAGCACAAGATTTATGGCCACATAGCAAAAATAAAATGAATTAAGGATTTAACAATGAAAGCAAAATTTTAGTATGAGTATTGCTTTCGATGAGATGTGGGAAATATTTAACGGTAATTTTTAGCTCTACTACACGTTCTTGGAAATGTGTGGATCTAATCAAGAAAAAGGGTTTGCAAATGAAGAACAGGATACAAAAGGAGGGAGATAGCAGCTGTAGACTTAAAGACAACTTTTAACTGTCTGTTTACACAGTCCACGGTTTGTTAGAATGATTTAAGTTTCTAAAAACTGACATTTTTTAAAATTTAAATTATCTCAGCCAAATTATCCATATAGATTATGTGGCTCTGGCCCTCTAATATCCAGGTGCTTTACTTGGCTGAGGTTAGTAAGAAAAGTTAAGCGTGGATGATAATCTAGTCATAGGACAGTGCATTAAATTTAGAAAAGTGATGTTTTTATTTGCTTAAAATTAGTATTTTCAGCTATGGCACCTCCAATTTCCCTTTACTGGAGTTAAATCTCCAGAAAAAATTTGGAGGTACACTTTTTTCTTCTCAACATTTTCTTGTCAGTGAGTTCATACTAATGATAATAAATAAGCCATCCTGGTGATATGTGGATGTTTTTTCCTAACCCAAGATTGGTTTCATTTTTTTCAATCCAGTGTATTTATTTGTTTGACATTTTCTCCTATAAATGAATCTTATAATGCTTTAGTTCATTTTATTGGCTTTTCTCTGTACTCTTAATTTCTAGTTTCAAAGTTTTTGATATAGTCTTGCTGTTAATATTATTATCCTGATTGTGCAGATTGGAGATGCAGAGACCAGCTTGACCTCTTTTTATTTGTGTCCTTGTGTGAGTCTGACATCTTCCCAACCAACTTGGTAATATAACTTCCTAGGTTTCTTTATTTGATTGCAGCAGCCTTCAAGTGGCTTTTTAGGGTTTACCAGAAACACTCGCTTAAATGCGGTTTTAATGTACAGGGTTCCTTAACTGTTTAATTAGTGGTTTCTCTTGTTAACTATTTACAAGGAAAAAATATCACCTGTATTTTCAAAGACTAGTATTTTAGAAATGAGTTATTAAGCTGAAATATTTGTGTTTGGGAAAGAAATTCACACCTTTATTAAAAAAAAAAAAACAAAACTACTGCGAAGTAGTTCTTGTCTTCCTTTTCAGAAATAAGTCTTTCCACAATATAAAAATAATGGGCCAGTAAGATTCTCATGAAATCAATCTACCCTGCTGGCCAGTTTTATAAGCTTAAGTTCAAAGTCAGGGCTCTCCTAGTTAGTTCTGAGATTAGACTGAATTCTTTTACCATACCTTCTCCAAAGGATGCATATAACACCTTCCAGTTAGTACATTTCAATATTTGTTGAGGGCCTATTCTGTGTTAGGTAATCTGCTGGGGTGTTGACTCCTTTTAAATTCCTGGCAGTTCCATCCTTTGAGGGCAGATTTTTTTCCCCTAGAAGATAAAGGGCACTGTCAGGGAAGACAGTTTTATTTATTTTAAATAATCAGTGAAAGTCATTTTTTAGAATTTGAAGGCAGTGTTCTCTTTCCGAATTATAGTTCACAGTTGGTGGTTGTTGGGACTGGCAATTCTTTAAAAACTCTGCACTGGGAGTTAAAACTTGAAAAATACATAGCCCTTTAAGTATTGTTTTTTTTTTTTTTTTCTTTTTCCACTAACTTCAGCCTTCAATCATTCAACAAATATTAAGAAGCCCACCGTGAATGCATGATGCAATGAGGGCGTCAATTTAACGGTCTGAATTCATGTTCAGGATGCCTGCACTCTAATTGGGGAGACAAACACACCAGGGAAAATACAAGGAATGAACAAGAGTGTGACCCAGCCCCTAGAACCAGACAGAACTGGGTTCTAGTCCTGTCTCTGTCCCTTACTTTTACACCAAAGAGTTACTTAATCTTTGTACATTTCACTTTCCTCATTGCAATATAGAAACACTTATACTGACCTCATAGTATTGTTCTGAAAGTTAAGATAATACCCATGAAGTGCTTAGTGCGGTGCCTGACACACAGTAAGCACTTAATAAATGCTAAGCATGATGATGATTGGTTGGCTAGTGAGTTCTCTCGGAGGAAGGGAGCAACCTCTTGAGGGTTGGTATTGTCGAAGGAGGCACTGAGTGAGACTCCAGATGAACTTGCAGGCCAGAGAAGATAGGAAGGGCGAGAAGAAAGTTACTGGAAGAAGCATTTTTTTTAAAAAAATCCAGGTATAGAATATTCATGATACCTGAGTGTGAGACAGTAAACAAATGAACTTTCAGAACACTGGTTTGCATCAGAAATATCAAAGTAAATCCTTTGTGAGGAACTTAGGAGAAGGACTTTTGGGTTTCTAATTGCAAGTAGGGTTTCATTTGCCAAGGCAATTAGCTAGCTTTGGTTCTTAATAGGAGTTTGTTGTGAGAATTAAGACCACACAGTAAGTGTAAACTTTGTAGCACTTTGAGCTGGCACCTAGCAACTGCTGCATTGTTCATTTACTCTCAATAAATATAAGTGAGCGCTCCCTATCGGCCATTACAGAATTGGAACTTGGGGGTTCTGCTCTGAGAAAGATGGCAGGGCCCTGGCCTTGGAGAGTTGGCAGCCTGCTGGGAGAGGTGGCTAACTCAGTATTTCACACATGCCACAGGGGCTAACAGGGAGCAGCAGGCGCCTCAGGCCACAGCGAGGCAGAAAACCTGACTTCCTGGAAAATGATGCCCAGGTTGGGTTCTTGTCAGTGTTGATATAGTGACTGAATGAACCTTCAAATATTTAGTCTCTGTTTTTTAAAAGTTTACCTCAGGTTTGAATCCCTGTATGCTAATTCACACATCTTCCCCATTTTTCTCTTCTAGAGCATACATTTTTTTGAAATGATAAAAAAGGTTATTTTGCATGTTAGAATTGGTAATGAAAGGTAGATTTACTATGTTCTATATAAATAAAAAAATGTGTTCAAGTTTGAACAAGGTTATTGCTAAACTAAGTTATTAGCCATTTAGAACTGTTTCCTTGTCCACTTAAATAGGTTTCTTGTTTAAATATAACCTAGGGAGAGAGGGAGGCCCACATAATAATCCTGCTTTGAACTTCGCAGTAGCAGCAGAGTTCCTCAAGTTAGTGACACGCCTTATACAAGAATCAAGTCTGGAACAGGATGCTGTAGCTCATATATACCCAGGAATTTCCTTGAGGTTACCAAATTACAACACTTATATTTAAGAAACAGGATACATTTCTTGAAACATCAAGTTTCATTTGGGTTTGTCCCAAACAATAATACATTTAAATATATTAAGTTGTTCTCTAAAAACCAGGTCCAATTTATATGTATATAATGAAGAGGCTTCTAAAAACAAGTAGCTGATTAGAGTGGATTTTTTCACCTAAACATTTCAGCAAGATATTCTGTTTTCCCAGGTTATTTCATTCCTGGTTTTCTAATTTTATTCTCATTCTCCCACATGTTATTTCTCTCTCCAAAGTCTTCTTGAAGAATTCTAACCCCAAAGGCTTTCACATTAAAGATGTATGTTAACTATCCTGAAGTTTTAAAAAATTTCATGGCATTCTGTTTGAAGCTGTGTGCTTCGTATTTTCTCTTAATCCTGTCTGTTCATAGAGGTGTGAATTGGCAAAGAGCTGGTGTGAAGAGGCTAATGACTACCAAACAGTTTTCAGCTCTGTGTTTTTCCCAAGTACTTTCCATTTTCTGTATTGAAACACTTCTCTGTGACCAGTGTTCCTAATCAGGATATTGTTTGAACCAGAATTGAATGTTGAGGTCTTGCTGGGACACTAAGACATCAAAATTTCACAAGGGCCCTCCGTTTACATGAAGTATATGAAAATGAAAGGTTATTCTGCTCCAGTTGATGTTTGCAGAATACAAACCCATTTATTATTCAGTTACCTGGATCAGCTTTGTGCTTTCTGACCAAAATTTAATGTTGGCATGAAGACTAAGGAAGTTCTCTCTTGCTCTCACTCTCTTAAAGAAAAAAAGTGGGTCTCCTTCGTGGCTCAGGGGTTAAGTCTCACTGCTATGAAGCTGTCATCAGCCACTGCTGCATGGGTTCGATCTCTGCCCTGGAGCTGACCCACATGGCGCAGCAGACCTCTCCTGTCTAGCTTGCTGCTCCCCTCAGCTGTATATTTCAGTCAGTATGCCTGTCTTGCTCCCCACTCTGTCTCTGGTGAATCCTCTCACTCTTATGCATAAAAAAATAAAAATAAATCTTCAAAAAAAAAAAAAAACAGTGTACAAGGTGCATTCGTGTCTTTTCCTGTTCATTTGACACATACTTGAAATTCTTGTAGGTTCACTTTGAGATGGCTAAATGGAGATCATTTTGGTCTTCAAGCTATAATGTAAAACATTTTTGGCTTTGTGGGATTTAAATGGGTAGTGTCTTGTTTATGTGGTTATTTTGCCTAAATCAAGCTTACATATATATATATATATATATATAAGACATGACTAAGTCTCTGAAAGTAGGAGCAGTTGGAATCTGACTACAGGTTGACTTTGGTATATGTCTGATGTTGGTGATGTGTAACTAATTATATAGCTCTTCTGTACAGTTGGGATTTCAAAGTCCTAGGTACAAAGATCTCTGGTTATCAAAAATTCCATTTTACTGATACTTAATAGTAATAGAATACTGTTTGAAAGTACTGATTTTCAGAGGGAGGGTGAAGTTCCAATACTGTAGTTAATAAGAACATTTATAAATGTGTTTTTTTCTTTCACAACCACTTTTGCTTCCTTGGGTTTTGCTTAAAGTCCACCCTATTTTTACTCTGCTTTTCTATTATTAGTGGACAAATGCAGTTATATTTTATGTAGGAAACCTTCAAAGCCATTTTCTTAATTGTTGGATCTTTTGTGTGTCTTTTTTTATAGCTTGCACCATCTCTTCCTCTACAAGAAGATTTTGTTTATCACTGGAAGGCAATTACCCATTACTACATAGAAACTTCAGGTAAGAAGCATGCTAACATTTATGAAAAAGAATTTGTGAAATGCTGACACACTGGCTTGCAAAGTTAGTTTTATTTAAACTTTATAAATATTTTATTTTAGCTGTAATTCCACTTTTATTTTCCTCTTAATTGTTTAGATTCATTCAGAAAATATCTACTGAACAACTACAATGTGTAGGTTCTAGACGCTGGGAGACAGAATAGTTAGACAAAATCTCTGACCTAACAAGAGTGTATTGGTGGGAAAAGCAAACAATAGACAAATAAACACAATGTGTCCATGTTAAGTGTTAAGGAGAAAATGAAGCAGCCTGGGGGGGTATGCTTTTGCAAGTGGGGGTGAAGCAACTGGTTGATTAAGGTCAGAGACAGCCTAATTGCCCAGGTGACTTTTGAGCTGAAGCTGGAAGGAGAGAGAAGCAGCCTTGAGGGGCAGGGGCCTAGTGATGAACTCTGAGACAGGAGCACACAGAATATGTTTGACATATTCAGGACCCAGCTAAGTCTGCCAAGAGCCAGGTGAGCTAGGAAGGCAGTGGTGGAGAGGCCAGCCCGCAGGTGCGGGTTCAGATTCACCCCAGGCCTTGTAAGCCACTGCAAGGACTTTGGGTTTTACTCTAAAGTGGGAGGCCTTTCAGCGGTTTTGAACAGAAATGTAACATAATCTGTTTTAAAAGGGAAAACTTAGATTGAGTGGATACAATGGTGAAGCAGGTGGAACAGTTAGGGGCAGGTGCAGTGGTCGGAGAAGGTGATGGCCACTCAGGCCAGGGCGGGGTTGGTAAGAAGTGATTGCCTTTGTGGTTTACTTTGAAGGGAGCTTGTTGGTGGATAAGATACTGGGTATTAGAGAATAAGAGCCAAGGATAATGTCCAGAGCCTTAGACAGATGGAAAAATGGGAGGGCGCCACTTAGGGTGAGAAGACTGGACCCAGGACAGGTTTGTCTGGGTAATGGGACATGTTAGGTTTAAGAAGCTCATACATCCAGATGTTTGAAAATGGGAATGTGGAATTCAGGGTAGAGATCTAAACCAGAAATATGAGGTTGAGTCATCAACATATTCTGAATTTAAAGCATTGACATTGGATGAGGTTATCTAGGGACTAAGGATGGATGAAGAGAGGTTCAGGAACTGAGCCCTTAGCTCATTGTTGAGAGAACCATAGCAGATGACATTTCGCTTCTGTCAGTGAGGCAGAAGACCACCAAGAGCTAGAAGCTAGGAGAGGAGAGAGGGGTGAATTGTGTCCATTGATGCTGAGGTCAAGTTAATGAGGACCAAGAGTGGATCATTGGATTTAGTTATAAGGAGCTCATTGGTGCTCTTAATAATGACAGGGTAGAGAGAGACCACATTGGGATAAGTGTAACAGAAAACACAACATGAATGGACAGTGTGTATAGACTCCTTTCTCCATGGTGCAAAAGGAAACAGAAATGGACCAATTTCCAGAGCAGGGCCTCAAGAGAGGGTTTAAACATTTTTTAAAAGATAGTAGGTGCTGCAATTTACAATTAGTTGGGGCTGATCTAATAGACAGGAAAAGGTAAATAAGGAGTCATTAGGGAACAAGAGAATTTCTAGGCAGTGTCTTTAATAGGCAAAGCCAGGTGGGATCTAGTGTACAAGCGGAGCCTTCCTAGGTTGTGAGTAGTTCATAAAAATAAGGAAGCAGGACACACCACTGGAGAAAAAGGGTAGATGGAGGGAGTCTTTGGGAGTTGCTTTATGGTTCTGTTTTTCTCAGTGAACAACTCAGGAAGGTTGGGAGTATGAATTAATTAGGCTTTTTTTCCTATAAAGGGCCAGACAGCATATTACAGACTCTTAGGCAACAGTCGTTGTTGCAGCTGCTCAGTTCTGTTGCAGCACAGAAGTGGCCATCAACACTGTGTAGGAGAACAAGAATTCCTCTTTCAGTACACCTTTATTAAAACATGGCAGGGGTGGATTTGTCCCGCCGGGGCACAGTGTCAGGGCCACAGAGCACTATGGCCCTTTGGGGGATGTGCAGGCACACAGCAGGAGATGGCAGGTGGACGTGTGTCATTTAAGTGAGAGGAAACATGAAAAAACGAGAAGTTGGCATACTGGTGAGTGAGAGGTGACCTGCCTTTAAAAGAAAAAAAAATAGTATTTGTGTAAATAAATAAAATGAAAGAATGTGTGTATCATCTGCCTATCTTTACATGTTAAATATAATCTCTAATTTCTTTGGATATATAGATAGCAAATCTATAGAAACACATTTTTGAGAGGAGCTGCTTTGAATTATGCCTACCAGCACCCCGCCTCCCCCACTGCAAGGAAATGCTTTAAGGAGAATGCTTAAAGTTCTTGGTTAAAGGATTTTTGGGAGTTGGGTAGCAGAAGCAAACATTTGTACATTACAGTAATTGTACTAACTAAATTGTACATTACAATAAAATATACAGCAAATAAGTGTGTCAGATACAGAACAAAAAACAGAAAAATAAGAGGAGGCATGGAGGGTCCAGAGAAGCTTTTAAAGGGTGAGTAGAGGATTTTGAGGTAGATAAAGGAGGTGTGCCAGGGAGAAGGACGAGCATAGCAAAAGCACAGAGACCTAAGAATGAAAGGGGCTGGGTGCAGGAACCAGACCTTGTTTTAGGGAGCTGGGATCTCAGCCCTCTCAGGTCAAGATTATAGTGCCTTTGTTTCTCAGATTTTAAAAGTCTTTAAGTCTGCAAGTAGAGGGGAAAAACACTGTTAAAAAGTAAATTTTGGGCCCTCCCTGGAGGCGCAGTGGGTTAAAGCACAGCACTACTAAGCTAATGTCACTTCAGCACGAGTTCGATCCCTGCCTGCCCCGGAGGTGACCACAGGGCGCGGCAGACCTCTCCTGACCCGCCCGCTGCTCCCCTCAGCAGTGTGCCTCCTCAGTCAGCCTGTTCTGCTCCCCACTCTGTCTCTGGTGAAACCTCTCACTGCCCCTGCACCTCTGGCCTGTACCCCAGTTCTGTATGCATAAATAAATAAATCTTTTTTTTTTTTTAAAGTAAATTTCAAATGAACTTACAAATTATCTTTTCTTATCTAGGCTACTCATTTTAGAAGACTGAAATGAGATATATTAAATTAGCATTTCTTGATTTCTACGAGTTAAGGCCAGGGCTTTATACACATTCTTTCACTGAATTCATATAGCACTGTGGCAGCTGGCTCGCTAACGGGAACGGCCCTGAGACTTGAGGCCAACCTGTGCAACTCCAAGTCCCATAACATGGCTTAGTGTTAGGGCTTCCTCAGTAAATACATGTGGCAGGCATGTACAAACCAAGTAACATGCTAAATACATGGCACACTGGATCGTGCTTTGTAGATTCTGCAAGTGCTGAGTGTCAACAGAGACATTCAGCTTAATGTGGAAGACCAACCTGTTCCTATAGAAATTTTAAAATTCATATCTTCTGAATTGGCTCATTGAAAAAAAAAATTTTCATTCACACAAAATTCTTGTTACATGTATTTCTCCTGATCATGTTCCCACGAGTTTGCTCTTGTTTTCAAATTATACATGAAATTTAGCTGATAGAATATATTTCAGAAAACTGGTTCAGTTTTTGAGTAAGAATATGGCCCAAACTATCATCTGAATTTTAAGAGATTAGTATACCATAGTATAAACCTCACTTATAGTTCATATTTTTCTTAGTTTGAATAAGAATGGGGAAATAAAGAGTATTTTAATTGCAAATATGGAGTTTGAATGTTTGATAAATGTCTTTTATTGTTTAGATGATAAAGCCCCAGTGACAGATACAAATATTCCATCTCATCTGGAACAGATGTTAGATATATTGGTACAAGAAGAAAACGAACGGGAATCTGGAGAGACGGGGCCATGCATGGAATACTTGCTCCATCACAAGATCTTGGAAACATTATATACCTTGGGGAAAGCTGATGTAAGTTCCTAGTCCATATCTTGTTCTCGGGCATGTAATATATGCCTTATTGTCTTAAAGATAAAGACCTTGCCAAGAGATAAGTATTAAGGTGGCAGGACTCAAGTCAGCAGTGCAGGGAGAAGAAAACTGTGCTGCCTATTTGAAGGTGACTTTCTGTAGAGATGGCAGAGCTCCCGGATGCTCTAGGTAACACCTGGCTCTTAGGCCATTTAAAAGTACAATGTAAGCCTTCATGAAAATAAACTCTAGTGCTTGTGCTCAGAAGACAAGGAAATGATAAGGAATCCATTGAAAATTGTGTTATAAAAGTAGCAATTATTTTTCAGTCCTGAAAGAAAATGTTCTTGATTATTTTGAAAATAATTATACTGATGAATGAAGACAATTCAAGTTTTTAAGGACTCTTGAGGAAGCTTTATAAAACTGATATATAGATAATATTCTGTATCACAAAACTTTCATACTTATGAAGGCAAGTTTCAAGTCTCATGGTTGAGCAGGGGAAGAACATGGGGTTTGGGTTAGAAGGTCTTTGTTTCTTGCTAATACACTATGACTTTCAGCAAGGTTAATTTTCCTACATTTTAAAAACAAGGTGGTACTTGCCATGGGAATCTCCCCAACTCTAAAACATCAGTAGTTCTGTGAATTTCTGTAACACGTGTGAGTCCCAAATTAAAACAACCATCATACCCAAGTTAGTAGATACATTTAAACATCAAGAGTTGTGAATAATAATAAAGACATATCGCCTTTTAAATCTATAATAATCTGATTCATTTTTCTCCAGTTCATTTTTTTCAATTCATTTTCAGGTTATATTCATTATATCTTCTAGGTAACACATCTGCTCCTTAATATCCTGCAATTCATTTTTCTTCTCCATTCTTTCTCCCTTAAAGAGGATTGCACAACACTAGTGCATAGTACTGATTTTTGTGTAGATGTTAGTAATTGTACTGGTGAATTTATTTTGGTAATGGATGATTATAAATATTCATATTTTATCTGAACAATGCCAGGTATTTGCAATCTTAAAAAATCATTATTGTGCTTAAGATTGTATGTTTATACTATTGCCAGACAGTATGTCTATGATGATGCTCATTTGTGGCTCTTTTAAATGTGTAGCAGTATAAGCAGGTTAATTATAGAAAGTATAGCCTTGTTAATTCATGTTCTCTTAATCTACAGTGTGAGTAATCAAATTTACTCCTTTTCAGTAAATATTTAAAACTTATAACTTATTAAATATTGAATAAGTAGAACAATCACAGTGTAAATAATTTTGCAACTAATTTAGAGCATCATTGTTGGAATAAGTCACAACTGTTTTTATATAGGAGTCCTTTTGTTTGCATGTATGTGTATCTACAAGGTTTTATTTACTCCTTGGTGTATCTGTGTCTGCGTATGATAGGGTGTTATAGGGTATTATTGTTTATGTGTCACTAGTGGAATAAGATCCTGCCTTCGCCTTGACCAGGGAGTTAATGATCTTAAGTTTCCTGTTATCCTCACTTTTGGGCTCTAAGCAGGTTGATGTTACCTGAAGCAAACTCTAACCTCAGTAACATACTATCACCAGGCTGTTTGTAATTATGTGTGTCTGGGGCCCTGCTATATCCCAGATGTAATTTTATTTCTATAGTACCAGCTGTTAATATTAACTCTTAGTAATCTGACTTAGACTTCTGGCAAAGTCATTAACCTGCTGGGTACACTGACTTTTTGGGATAACACATTCAAAAACATTGCCTCTCCCCTTTTTTAAGCTTTTGAGTAATTGTGTTTGCATTTACTTTCTTTTCTTGACTACTTTCCTTTTTACCTGTCGCCAGTGCCCTCCTGGAATGAAGCAGCAGGTCTTGGTGTTCTATACGAAACTCCTGGGGCGGATCCGGCAGCCACTGCTTCCACACATTAACGTGCACAGGCCAGTGCAGGTATCTAGTTCTGGTAAAATTGTTTGATTGTTGTAGTACAGGAATAATTGTATATGCTTCTCCTAAGAGTGAAAGTTAATACAGAAAATTATTCTAGAAATGGCATGCAGCATAATAGCAAATACTTGAGCTTCCTTTATGCGTGAAATGGTATTAAATGTTCAAATCCTTATCCTTTACATTTATATATCTCCATGACATCTCAGGAGTTTGTTATCTACTTCATTGATTTTTTTTTTAGGGTAATATATTTGAAAAACTTATTATCAGTAAATTTGTTTTGAAAGAGTACATTTATTTTGATATATAAAATTGTAAATAGTGTTCTGTCTAAATAATGGAAAGTATTTGTATTATTTGAAAAATTTAGATACCCTTAATAAATGGAAGACTGCCTATCTGTAAAAGATAACCTAAGTTTTAAAAAAATTTTTTACAGAAATTAATTAGACTCTGTGGTGAAGTCCTTGCAACCCCAACTGAAAATGAAGAAATACAGTTTCTTTGTATCGTGTGTGCAAAGCTGAAACAAGACCCCTACCTGGTTAATTTTTTCTTGGAGGTATGGTACTTCTGTCATCCTTCTGAGTATGCTAATATGAAAATTACTAGAAGAATTTAATTCTGTAAGTAATATTAGAAAGAATTTTATTTTGTGGATGTCAAGGAGGTTGTTTTACTTCCCAGAATTTTCATTTAAGATCACTGTTACATTTTAACATGAAATCTCCTGAGAAAAGTGACTTCCCAGGAATGTTGAGCCAGGTGTGGGGGACACTGGAGGGGCGGGGCAGGCACAGCGCTGGGCTGAGGGGGTGCGGCTCCTCTGCTCCACTGAGGGGCTGCGGGGGCCCTGCCGGGGAGTGGGCGGCACCAGCTGACGGGTCACCGCGCCCCCCGATACAGCTGCGGTGGCCCTGCTTGTTTGTACTGCCCTTTGGTGGCGGAAGTCACCAGTCGGTTTACCTGAGCCAACAGACACTTTGGATTTTCCTTTCAGTTCAAATTAGAAAACAGTTTTTTGTGTACTTTCTGTTCCCAGTCACTTTTTTCCAGCAGTGAAAACAATTTTTTTTTTTTTAAATTATTTTGACTTCCTCTTAAAAAGGTTGAGGCCAGGTCACACCCCGACGCCTGTTGCGGCCGTGTGAGGCTGTGCAGGCCGTGAGAGGCGCGGCCCGGGTGCCCGCAGAGCCGTCGCGGCCCAGTGTCTCACTGCCGTACTGTGTCCGTCGCCGCACTGGCTGGACATTGGGGTGTCAGAGGAAACACCACCAAAATTTCTGCGTTCTGAACCCCTGTTGTGACCCTCACAGCACGCACGTACTTCCTTTCAGAATAAATGGAAGCCCTTCGCGCCCAAGGTAGCCCCGGATGCCACCTCAGCAGACCCGGGCCGGGGTCAGGATGCCTCGCCGGCGGGCGCGGGGCC